GTAATTACATCTTATCTCTGTCGTTGGGTCGGTTGGTATTTCTCTTTTTCTTCTTTCGTTTTAATGACTGCTCGCATGTAATTTTGAAGACTATTCCATCCCTCCGTACTTCCCGTCATCTTTACGATCATCTCTTTTACAGTCACAGGGTTCATACCTATTTCTTTATACATTATGTTTCTCTCCACTGTACATCTATTACAATCCAGCATTGTGAAAGTAACAATATAGAAATATTCGCAGTATAGGAATTAATCTGTATCTGCCTTTCTTAACCTATGAAGTTACGCCCTAAAACAGATAATCTACCCGGTCCCTAACAACAGATAATCCCGGCTCGGGATTATCATCTTGGTTCACTGGGCAACATCTTATTGTTTCACTATCCTTGCCATCTTTTCATTGATCTTTGCCTTTCTTATTTTTTTATAGCTGTTAAATTCTCTCTTCTCTCATAGATATGTCTCTTTTCTACTGCTAACACATGCAGAGGAACACAACCCGCGATAGTCCACAAGGCCGCCGCAGATACAGTCCTGTAGGCGCATCGTACTCTAAACAGACTCGTTCTGACTACTTCTTCATAAGCCTAATATTAGGTATCTATATCTAAATATAATGAAAAATATTATTATTTATTGTGTATTAATTATTGTGCATTTATACAATAATTATTGTGTTCTACATATATTAATAATAATGTTTCTGATAAGCTCAGTATTAAATACTATTTTTAGGCCAGTTTTTGCGGCAATTGGTTAAAAGTTGACATTAAGCTTTAGCTTCACTGACGATTTTAGCTAAAAAAGCTAGCTCATCGGTCATGGGCAAACGCTAAACAGTTTAGTTTCATATATCATACATAATTAAACGTTAAACATTATTTACCCCCAAACACAAACTTTCGTCTCTTGTCCGATCAATCAAAGACAACATTCCAAATAAACAACACGAAGTTTATGAAATTCCTTGTGCAGACTTGTGAAAACTCCAGAACCATAGCCCCCATCCGCTTTTATAAACCAAGACTTATCCGAGAAGTCATAGAAATTAAAAAAGATCAAAATGTCTCAATATATGGTTACCTTCGACTTGGAGACCTTTCATAAAGAAAATTCCATCCGCTCCACCCGTCAACCAAAATCCTGCTGTCAGAAACATTCTTGAAAGAAAGGACAGAGATAATAAAGATCAGCGAATAATTCTCAATCTATATTGGAATCGGAAAGCTAACATCAAAATAGAAAATGAGATATTACAAGCAATAGAAATACGTAGAATAGTACGAAAGGGATGCATTTTGTCACCGCTTCTATTTAATGTTTATAGTGAAAGCATCTGCCAGGAAACACTTTTGCAAGTAAACCAAGAAATCGTAATCAATGGAGAGGTTTTAAATAATATTCGATACGCAAATAACACTGTACTAGTTGCAAGAACAGTAGAAGAATTGCAGCGATTACTTACAAATATAAATATTGACTGCAACAATTATGGAATAAATATCAATATCAAAAATACACTGAGCATATCGTTCGTTGGGTCGTTGCAACACACGAACACGTCTGTCGTTATTGTACAAACAAAATCGAGATTCATCAGTAAATAGCACTCGTTCCCAGTTAGCCTCTAACCAATTACGTGTTCTCTGGCAAAATGTAGTCTCCCCCTTCGATGCTTTGCAGTTAATAGAGGACCTCGGGCGGCAATCCTAGGTGTTAAGTTGTATTCCCTAAGTCGTTGGCGAACAGTTTCAGTACTAATTTGTATAGCATGCACATTTCAAAGCTAAATTTGTAGACTTAGATGTGTTACAAAACGTTGTCGAAGAGCAGAAATTCTTAAAAATCGATCTTGAATAGGGGTAGTTACCCGGTTTCGTCCCTGTCTAGGTCTGCGAGTATGATCCCACGTTTCGAGGAATCTTTCCAACACTCGTGGGACGGATGTGTGGGACACATTAAACCGACGACCAATTCTTCGGTAACTTTAACCTTCTTCCGACAGTATCAATGCTTGGGCACATTCATCTCGGGTTAAATTACGTGATTGACGGTCCATAATAAACAGAATTAACAATAATCAACAATTAAAGAGTAGTCAAATAAAATTCGTGAACACTTGGAAATTAGTATATTTACAGAATTAGTTCTGCTAATTGGCTCTTGAAGATACTTTTTAAAGATCAGAATGGAAAAAAAGGTATAAAAATTTGTGGACAACGCTTGAAGTGATGAAAGAACTGGACATAAAAGCTGGAAAGATAGGCCTTAATATGAATTACAGCAAGACCAAAACTATAACAAATACAGATGAAGACATCACAATGAGAATCGGACAAGATGAAATAGAACAAGTTAATGATTATATATATCTTGGTCAAACTATAAAACTTAACAAAGAGAACCAAACAGCAAAAATCAAGGGACGAGTTAGACTGGCATGGGCGGCATTTGGCAAACTAAGCTACATTCTTAAACACAAAATATATTCACAGCATCTTAAGACCAAAGTATATCATCATCATCATTATCCAGCCTCAAGAGTCCACTGCTGAACATAGGCCTCTTCCTCATGTTTTCAACCCCGTCTATCTTGCTCCGCTCTTATCCAGTTTTTATTGAGTTTTCTTAAATCGTCAGTCCATCTTGTAGGTGGTCGATCGACGCTTCTCTTGTCTTCCCTTGGCCTCCATTCCAATAACCTCTTTGTCCATTGCCCATCTGTCATTCTGGCTATGTATCCTGCCCATCTCCATTTTAGTCTGGCTATCTCCTCGATGATGGCAGTCACTCCGGTTCTTCTCCTGATGTCTTCGTTTGTTATTCTGTCTCGGAGAGTTATTCCTAACATGGACTGCTCCATTCTTCTCTGCGTGACTCTCAGTTTAGTAGCTACTGCTTTTGTTAAGGTAAGTGTTTCTGCTCCGTACGTCAAGACTGGGAGGACGCACTGATCAAATACCTTTCTCTTTAGGCATGTGGGCAGCTCACTTTTAAAAGTTTCTCTCAGTTTTCCAAATGCTGCCCACCCAAGGCCGACTCTTCTCTTCAGTTATCTCTGCCAATCATAATTTCATGTCACAGGTATTTATATCTATCTACAAGTTCTATTTCTTTCCCACCAATACTGATGTTCTGGTTGGGCACCAAATTGGTCATGATTTTTGTTTTCGAGATATTTATATTTAAACCTACATTTTCTGTAGCCACAACGAGTTCCTGTACCATCTCCCTTGCCATACCTAGACCTTCAGCTATTATAAGTATATCATCGGCGAAACGTAAGTTGTTTAGATATTCTCCATCTATTTTTATTCCCTTTGTCATCCAACCCAAATTCTTAAAAGCATGTTCTAGCACAGTATTAAAAAGTTTAGGTGACATTGGGTCTCATTGTCTAACCCCCCGTTCTATTTTTATGCAATTACTGTTAGTATGTAATTTGACAGTGGTTGTTGCCTGCAGTTATATTTTGTATAATAATTTAGTATATCTATAATCAAGCCTGCATTCTTTAAGCGCCTGTAATATTTTGCTTAGCTCAACTGTGTCAAACGTTTTGTGAAAATCGATAAATATTAGAACTAGAGGTTTATTGTATTTCATTGCTTTTTCTATTAGGGTTTTTATACTTTGTAGATGGTCATTTGTTGCGTAACTTTTTCGGAATCCTGCCTGTTCCCTTGGTTGATGAGTCTCTAATTTTCTTTCCATTCTCTTAACTAGTATTCGCGTAAACAACTTGTATACATTATATATATATATATATATATATATATATATAATATATATATATATATATATATATATATATATATATATATATATATATGGCTGAGGAGGCTAATCGGTCTGTAATTCTCTAAATTTGCTTTGTCTCCTGATTTGTGTAATCCAGATATTGAAAAGTTGTTTAATTTTTTCAAGTAATACATCCCCTCCAATTTTTAGTGCTTCTAATACTATTCCATCTTCACCCGGGGTTCGATTATTTTTCATTTTTTTCAGGGCTTCTTTGATTTCTGATTTTGTTATATTGGGCATTAAATCTGATACTTGGTTTAATACCCCAGTTTTTAGTGTAATTGGAGGTTCCGTATTGTTATCTTTTTTTCTTGATCTATATAACTCTGTGTAGAACTCTTCGACTATTCTTAATATTTCATCTCTGTTCGTTGTTTCTTCTCCAGTTCTGTTTCTCAGTTTGTTAATTTCTATTTTCCCCTTTTGTACGCTCCTCTTCATAACTTTCATGTTCTTATTTTTCTCTATTGCCTGTTTTGTTTTTCCTACATTGTAGTTTCTTATGTCTTTACTTATTGCCTTTGTGATCGTCTTATTTATTTGATATATAATCAATCAGCCAAAGTATATAATCAATGAGTACTCCCTGTTCTTACTTATGGTTCCCAAACGTGGACATCTACAAAAGCAAACATGGACAAAATCATAAAAACCCAAAGAGCAATGGAAAGACAAATGTTGCACATAAGACTAACGGATAAGAAGAGAAACGAGTGGATAAGAGAGAAAACAAAAGTGAGGGATGTTAGGCAAGAAGTTGCAAAATTGAAATGGAGATTTGCCGGACACAATATAAGATAAAAAGAAGATCGATGGAACAAAATTCTTATAAGTTGGAGACCGTGGGAATATAAACGAAGCAGAGGAAGGCCCCAAATGAGATGGGCAGATGATATCAAGAAGCACGTGGGCTCTAGATGGATGACTGTAGCCAGAGACAAAGAAGAATGGAAAATGATTGGGGAGGCCTATGTCCAAAGATGGACCGAAGAAGGCTAATTAGATAGCATATACAAGGGACTTGCCAAATATAACATTAGAATGGAAATTTTTATTAACGATAATAAAATATTTTAATATTTTAAAGTGGTGCGTTAATTTCTTGGAGGAGTGTATATATATTCAAAATGCATGTAAATATTAAATCTTTTAAATTGCCATTGTAATATAAACCTGAACGTTTGAATTACTTACGAATATCCATTTAGCCATTCAAAATTATCTAGTAAACTCCAAATTGTTACTCCAATTACATTTACGCCATCTTCGTATATACTGTCAAGGATAGCGCTAAAATATTCCTAAAAGCAAAAATAATATATTCTTAATTCTTATAAATATTCCTTACGTCATTATGTATAAACCTGTTAAGTTCCATTTTTAAACTAAAAACATGATTAATGACGAGTCAGTTAATTATTCGTCATCAACAACAAAGATTCAGAAGAAGATCTTATAACGATGCATAATCAGAAAAAGAGTTAAGAAATTTATAGAATATAACAAACAGCCTATATGTGCTTTACAGACTTGTAACAGGAATTCACCAGTGTACGAGTATAAGAGGTTATGCAGCTACTTTATAACATAAGTACCATTCGACATAATAAAACTATTGAAAAATGTATGTAAAAAACAAACTTAAGTAAAAGTTAAGGAATCAGAGGGGAAGATGATTAAGTTCAATAATGTTCAACCTGATATTGAATGGGTTGACAAAACAAGTAAAAATGACCAGCGAATATTAGAAGGAAGATAAAGCAATAAAATAATGTGCAGTAGATGACGCAGTTCTGATAGAAGAGAACAAAAATGATTTACAATGATTGCCACATCATTCGACATCAACAAACTAAGGAGTGCAATATGAAAATATCGTCACACAAACAAGAAATTTAGAAATAATAAACTATACAAACTAAGACTGAAAACAAAATCGACTGAAAAATGGTAAAACTAGACATTTTATCATTAGGACAAATCAGTAAAACAAGTCACTATTGTCATTATAATCATCAACCTGTATGCGTTCATTGCTTAACATAGGTCTCTCTAAGTTATTTCTATCTCTGTCTTGTGCGGCTTGGATCCAGTTACTGCTAAAACGCCTCAGATTGTTAGTCCATCTGATTGGTAGGGGTCCTCTGCTCCGTAGTGCTTTTTATATTGATGTCCACTTGAGAGTTTTTCCGTCCATTAGTTTTGTCCATAATCTGGCAGCGTCTCCTGCCCAATTAATTTTTAGTGGCGCGATTATTTCGATAGCGTCTGTTGTCTTTGTTCTTTGTACTATCTGGCGCTCCATAACTCTCTGAGTTATGTGAATCTTATTTACTGCAGTAAGACAATAGTCGAGTCAGGATAGCATTTGAGCTCAAATAAAATACGATATAATACGAAACAATGGCATACGATATAACATGGAGAAACAAACATGTTAATTTAGAAACGAAATTACGCATATACACATCTCGAAACAAGTGAAATGAGAATCCCAAAACGGAGTGACAATAAAGACACACAAACAGATAAAAAAGTAACGACCTCACAAACTCGTTCAGGATAGACAATATAAATCAATGGGTGCCATTTCGAAAGAAAGAAGATATTAGTAGTATTAGCAGAAAAGCCAAAAATATAATACATAGGTAGAATAGCTTGAAATAAGTAACTTGAAAAAAAAACAGGTAATACACCTAGATAAAAGTAAAAGGAGAAGATCATTATTCCAATAATTCTGAAGCTTTAATTTAATAAGTAAATGTGATAAAAAATAAAATAAATATTATAAAGATTACTTACTGTAAGTGCTTTAATTCTTGGTTCGTCTTTTAAGGTGGATCCGTCATCAGAAATACCAATTTCAGTTATTAGGATAGTAGGGTTATTATATTCGGTTTTTACGTATTTCAAAACTTTGGTAAGACCCCAAGGTACAATCTAAAAATAATGAATGTAATAATATTATTCCACAATGAATAAAAAGTTTTTGTTGAAGATAGTTACTTATTTATTGAATATAAATCTTTTGACTATTTCAGTTTGGGATCTGTTGCTACAAAAACAAAAAAAAGTATTTATACTATATATATATATATTATATATATATATATATATATATATATATATATATATATTAGTGGATTTTCTTGGGCTTAGGTTCATAAAAAAATTGATTTGATACTAAGACATTTTCATATATTTTTTCGACGTTTCGGAAGGAAATCCATGACTTTTTCAAGAAGTAATATTGACAAGCATGTAAAAATTCGGTACTAACAAGTAGACGTCACAATTAAAATAATATTAAAAACATAGGACATACCCACTAAGTCACTACATGTAAAAAAAATGATTTTCTTCTTCCGAGAACTTTCCATTTAAAATTTCGGTTCTTAGCAAACTACGCACGAAGCACATCGGTGGCAGAGACTCTTTCACCCTAAATGTTCCGCTTGTTTGTCAGCCTTGTTTTTAGAAGTTTGTGTTTGGGTGAGCGTGTAACTAAAGATAGTGTTATATTATTATAAATTAGAATATTATAAAACAAGGTGACCCAGCGAACTTCGTACCGTCTTAGAATTAAATAAGGTGCCCTCTAAAGTTCAATAAGATTCCCTTTTGAGTTTATTAAGTAACTATAACCTTTGGGTAATGAAATGAATCCGGTCGAGGTGTCAATAGTGACTTTGCCATTTGAAATATTTCCAATACAATTGTTTCGATAACACAATTGCACTTTGATCTTGTTGCAAAACTACTCGAATGTTATTTATCAATTGCGTCCTTACGTGTCATCACACATTGAATAATGCGATAAGCATGCATTTAGTTCGTCCGCAGCACTTAATTGGGGAATAATTAATAAATAAGGAACACTTTGGCAATAGAATCATGGTTTCACCAAAAGTGTTTTTAATTGTCACAAATATCTATCAAAATGATGTCCAGTGCCTGTAATGACCTCTTGTTGTCACTGTACGTTCGTCCCAAATAATTAATTTGCACACCTGTAAATCATTGCTCTATTTTTGACGATGTTGCAATCGAAAGTTTTATTGATTTACATGTTTAATGGTAAGTTGAAGGACAAAATTTACAATTTGTCCGTTTTCTAATAAAGTTATATTTCAGATAAAGCCAATAAAAAAGATGCTTGTTTTGCTTTAATTAAAATTACACATACATTTCAATGATTACCTATTTTAGGTGATACCCCACCAGTATATGTTTAGTGCGGTACGAAACGTTAAAGATTTACAAGTGGCGATTGTATGGTTAGGTCAACTCCGTCACCTAAGAGATCAAGTAGTAGTCTCAGTGAGTATAGTTTTGAAATTAATTTGCCCACAAAACTTGAAACTGAATTGACGGCGAAGGTAATGGAGTATTAAGTAAATGCTTTAAAGAAGAAGTGCCGTCAGAAGAACAGTCAGCGTTGTAGAACAAAAAAAAAAAACAGAAAATCGGCAACCAAATTCATGTTACAGGTTCTGTTAGAAAAAAAAGCAAATACGTGCACACTTTTGTTAATATGCAGTTTTTACATAAAACTTGTTCACAATGGAGTCAGAATAAAAAGGATTTAGCTCTGGCCATTTATTATGTCTCCTAGTTGTTACAAATTTTTAATTAGATCTCCTAACTTTGTATTACCTTCAGTAAAAACAATTCAAACTTGGTTGCGTGTCATAAAATTAAGAACTAGTTTAAACACTTCCTTGATTGACAAGTAGAAGAAAAAAGCAGAGACAATGAGACAGCAGAGCAGAGTGGGAAAACATTTGTGTGTTTGATGGAACTTCTTTGAAAAAAACAATTAAGGTACAATAAATTGGATGACATTATAAAAGTGTTTCAATATCTAGGTGCTTTAGGAAGAAAAAACAAACTTGCCAACACAGGTCTGATTTTCATGATGCGCGGCTTGCTACAAAGCTGAAAAAATCCGATTTGGTATTTTGTTACAGGTGGTCCAATACATAGCGACAACTTAAAAAACATTGTAGTTGAAGTTGTTTCAAAATTACAAAATATTGGGTATATACCAAAAGTGTTAGTGTGTGATCAAGCATCTAATAATAGAGCTTTATTTAAGCGGTTAGGTAAGGTCACGATAAACAAATATCGTGGCAAGATATTGAATACACATACAACATCGATAGAACCAATGTAAGAGCACGATGCATGATGAAAATAACAGACGTTCATATAAACCCTAATATTTTCCAAAAATGCGTGTAAAATTAGCAGCACAAATTTTTTCCAACTCAGTTGCCTCAGCAATATCAACAGCAATAGCTGTTACACACCAAAACAGCTCCTCATTCTGGCAAAATTTTGAAAATTATAAATAATATTTTTGATGGTCTTAACAGCAAATATTGCAGTGATAGTAATCCAAACAGAAAGCCAATGTCAACTTTAAGCAAGTCAACTGAAAACTTAAAAGCAGGTTTAGAATATTAAAAAAAAAAAAATAGTTTTTAAAAATAGACAGAAATAATATTCACTGTCTACACGGCTTTCAGTGGACAATTTTGTCAGTTTTATGTTTGTGGTAGGAACTTCAAAAATATAATGTGTCACATCTTTTAACATCTTTTCTGAATCAAGATCCCCTAGAAATTTTTTACTCTATTGTGCGCAATACGGGTGGTTGCAATGCAACACCTAGTGTGAGTGAGTTAAGAATTGCCATTAAACATAACACAAATATTAAACTAAAAACTGCTTTAGACAATGGAAATTGTGATATAGCACAAACTGATAATTTATATTTAACCCACGAAGTACCCAGCGTCGAAATATCTGACGAGTGCATTGAAACCCAAACAGTTCATGTAGAAAAATCTTTAGACAAGCAAAAGGAAAATAATGACAACCAAATTTTAATCGCTGCAAATTCACCAAATTAAGCATAACCAATTTAGAAACGTGTGCTGTTACATATGTCGCTGGTTATGTTTACAATAAGATTATGAAGAATTTGAATTGTATTAAATGCCAGGAAGGTTTACTAAAAGACAATAACATTCTATTACAGAAACACGAATTAATGTTACTTTTCAAAAATTATGGCGCAAACGAAGAAATAAAGTTTCTTCAGAGACCATCAGATTTGTTTGTTACTATTACTGCAATATTGTTAGAAAAGTTTTACGAGGCGGTTAATTTATTTAAAGTAGATAATGCAGTTTTTGAAAAAATTGAAACCGATGTGATTAAGCATATTTTATTAACTACTAATTGGCTTGAAAGCTGTGAATACCATAAAAGAAAAATTATAAAATTCTTGGTAAAAATCAAACTTTTAAAAACTTGTCAGTGGTATAACGTTACTGAAAGCAAACAAAAAACTAAAAGGGAAAATATTCACAGAAAATTACATATTTTCGATAAAAGTAATGGTAAACAAACTTCAAACTGCAAAAATTCGACAAATAAACAGCGAAAAATTCAACAGACTGACAGCCACAAAAGTAAACAAACCAGAAACGTCACAAATTGTACTTAAAATAAATCGTCGGCATACTGCCAAAAGTGACCAAGTCATGTTTAGGTAGTTTCGAGAAAATGAAGTATAAATTTTTAGAAGTGCCTATAAAATCGAACATGATAACTACACAGTTTTGAAGGTTTTATGTTTCGAGGGTTAGTCATCTAGAGGCAAATACTTTAGTTAATAATAAAATAACTCTTATGGTACACTAACAAAAATGCAATAAAGATGACTTGGTCACTTCCAATGTAAGTTAAAATTAACCAATATGACTTGGGCATGTCTAACTTGACATGGTAAAACTAACGTAAGAACCGATAAAAATAAAAAAAAAAAATTGTTTGTAGTATAGATGTTTATTGCTTACATACAATAAAATTAATCAATATCAATATCGCTATCTGAATCTGATACTGCTGGTTCTGGAACTCTATCAAGTGCCTTATTATTCACAGGCAAAGACTTGTACCAATCATGATATTCAGGCGGAATTATGCTACTTGTTATAAGTTTTACGATTTATATAATGGCTGTAGATCCATCGCCGTTGCTGTTGGTCTTCCCCCTGCTAGCTACCCGAAGCACATGAAACTCGGTCTCTGAAGGTCTGTATTTAAATAAAATACATCCTGGATTAGCCTTGTCATACCTCATGCATTTTATTCTTAGCCATTCAACCTTGTTTCCTTTCTCATCTTTGCTTTTATTTTTAATTAAGGTAGTTGCTAGAGCTTTTAAGTCAATGAAATCAGAAAATCTTAATTCTTGAACATTATAGTGACTACAACTTTTATTTTTATTGCGATTAGAACGTGCAAGTCTGAAAATGTTTAAAAGGTACATACATTTTTCTTTGCTTTTTCTATTGCAGAATGCACTGAGTCCACTTCCATGTATGTGTGCCCTTTCTCCAAAAAATTATGTTGGATAACATCAAAATACATGTGGTGTACAATATACAGAAAGAGAGCAGAAATAAATTGATTTCGGTTCTGTCCACTGCAGCTATCAGAAAAAACAGTAATTTCTTTTATAGTAATTGGAATACTTTTTATCCAGCAGAGCAACGCAGTTCCTATTTCACAACTTCCCCTTTGACCATTTAATTCCGTCCAAGAAAAGCAGTGAGCATTATTGGGTTTCGCAGCTTCATAAATAGTGAAATTGTAGGCATATAACTTCCTTGCATAATACATTTGAGAAACGGCCGAAGTTGGAATATTTAAAACGCTTTGTAGATGCACTTATAAAATTAGTATCTGCATTTGCTCTAAACTTGTCATTGGCCTTGAGTTGATTTGCTTCGTCACGTCGCGCAATATGAGCTGTGTAATCTTCATCTGATATTAATTTCTTTTTGTGTTTCTCGCATACTTCACAAAGATCCTTTTTCGGGTAAAAGAAAGATAAATTAAATTCTTTCTCAAATATACGACGATAAGTAATTTCGGAAACGTATGGTTTATTATCTTCTTTGCATTTATTGACGTATAAGTCATACATCTTGGATCTAGATACTGCCGCTTTGAAGATTTTCTGCAATAATGGGAGTCCATCGCAGGAAAGCTGGCAATATGTTCTCTTACTATTACTATCATGTCTTCAGATGTTTTGTTAGATGGAACATGATGACCTCTGTTATCTGAAATAGCAAACAATCCATGTTCATTTGTTCCCTTCAAAGCTGTATCCACAAGCCCATGGCTAATGCAAAGAGTTTTAAGAAAGAATACTTTGCACACTTGAATTCTGTGCTCATTCTTCTGGAAATGATATTTCCTAGATGTTTCCTTCTTAGTGCCTATTCCAGTACGAACCCTTCGATATTTTGGCTTAGTCCACGAAGCACAAGATAGAATAAAGTCCTTTTGCCTTTCATACTGTAACTTCCAGAAACTTGCGCATAACTTGTCACGTTCTTCTTCAGAAAAACTGGTTAAACACTGAAATTTACAGTTTTTGCATCTTTTTTGGTTTTTTTGGACTTTTCATACCAGTTTTACTTACGTAGGGAATACTTAACGATCTGTTCTGTTTGGAAATATTCTTCTTCCATTTTTCTGGACTGGCTTTTTTCCATCTTGGTTTTTTTACTAATACTTCGTCCTCACTACTTTCATCTTCAGTGGCAATGAAATTATCATCACTCTCTGTTCCAAATGGTTCTGATTCAGTCTCACTCGTTGTAAATTCAGCATCTACATGCAGTTTGATAGGTATTTGATTTTGATTACCACCCGATGAACTGTTATTGAGGCTAGTAGTTGGATCTGAAATAAAAGAAGTTATCAATAATCTCTAATCATTTCACTCGTATATTATTTATGTAATATCCCTTTGGCATAACTTGAAATATTTTATTAAAAATAAATCATAATCAATCAAATACAATAAAAGTAATATCTAACCTATGACGTAATTTTTGGAACATAATATAAATAATTACATACCTGTAATGTTTACTGCAATTTCATTTGTTAAATTTTCTGCACACAAGGAGGCTATGTACTTCCCCCGGGAACACATTTTTTGAATTTTCTTTGCGTTAGGACAATGATTTTGACACACAATTAAGTATCCTTGTACGTAACGTCTACATAAGTTAAATTGATCAGACAAGTTTAATAACAACAATCTACCGAAAAAAGTGACTAAGTCGCCTTGGTCAGTTTTGGCGGTAGCGAATACCAGTATTATGACTTAAGCATTCTAAGGCATGCCTGAAACTAGGCAACCATATTTATATCACGAGTTGGGCATTTTTTCTGGAAAAGATCTTATAGTTTTAAGTCATTTGGTCAATAAACATCAAAATGAGATTTTTTTGACTTGGTCACTTTTGGCAGTATACCGACGAAATATGAAAACCTCTTTTTTTATTTATATCTTTTGTTTGTTAAAAAATATTAATTCTTATCAAGAGTAATATACCTTAATTTTTATAGCACTTTTATAGAAATATGAATGTGGTTTTAAATTCTTCTCGACTTTTAATATTAAAATGTTTCGATATTTTTTTTCCTAAAATTTCACAATCTTAGTTTAAAAAGAATTAACATTCAAATATACTTATTCACTTTGTTTTGAAATATGATCTAATTATTAGTGATGTTTTAAACTTTCTTATCCTATCCGTTTATCAACTTTTACTTATTGTTCCTAGGCAGATGGCCCTCAACTATTTACACTAGTGGCCAAAAGTCTGGAACTTAATTATCGTTTTTTAGCAAGACTTGTCTCATGATCATGATTTATATAGTTTACCATTACAATTAGGTTTTTATTTGATTGTTTAATATTCCTGCATAATATTTTATGTATTTCTTACTCTTTTTTATTATTATCATTATTATTCTTATCATAACAACCGAACTGAAAGAGGTTAGGTGGCGTTTAGTACAGTTTCGTGCGGCTTCCAGTGTTTATCAGTGACATCAGGTAGTTGTTACTAAGGTGATATTGTTTAATTGTCGGAGAGGAATTCATCAGCGTCGATTCGAAAAATCGTCGAAAATGGCAACCAGAAACCCACAACGTGTTGACTGGTCACCAGGAAAGAGAGCCAAAGCAATTATCCTTCGAGAAGAAGGTTACACTTATCAAGAAATAGCAAACAAGTTGGGTGGTAGCGCCACAAAATCAGGTCTAATGAAAGTTTGCAAACGTGGAATAACAAAATCAGCAAAAAGATTTGGCAGAAAACCCAAAGTTAATCACTACGATGTGCGTAGAATATGCCGACTTTCTTTAGAAGATCGTTGCAGATCCGCAAAAGATATTAACGGTATTGTCAAATCAACTAAATTACAAATATCGGACCGCACTATCAGAAGAAAGTTGTGTGAAAATGGATTTCGAGAACAAATTCCTAGAAAGAAGCCCTTCCTGAACAAAAAACAGAGGCAAAAACGCATTGATTGGGCTTTGGCATACAGAGGATGGACAGAAGAACAATGGAGTAAAGTAATTTGAAGTGATGAAACCAAAATCTCGATCTTTGGGAGTGACGGAGTGAAGTTTGTTCGCCGCCGACCGGAAGAAGACCTTTTGCCCCAGTGTACTACGGTCACTATGAAGCATCTTGTGAGTGTTATGGTATGGTCTTACATGACCACTAATGGAGTTGGACGTTTAGCAGTAATATAGAGCAACATTAATGCAAAAAAAATATCAGGAAGAGATACTGCAAGCCAAACTGCTGCCGACTATCAGAGATTTGTTCGAAGGGGATGTCCAACAATGCATCTTCCAGCAGGATGAAGCGTCTTGTCATACGGCTAAGACTACCATGGAATGGTTGAGAAACCATGATGTTACTGTTCTGCCTTGGCCTGGAAATAGTCCCAATCTAAATCCAATAGAAAATTTATCGTCAAGGCTGAAAGTCTTAGTATCACACCAAAACCCAAGCAACAAGAGAGAACTGATAGAAGCCTTTATTAAAAACTGGTTTAGAGTTATTATACCAGAAGATTTGGCTCGTCTCGTCAACTCCATGCCTCGCAGAATTGAGTCTGTCCTAAAAAACAAAGGTTATCCTACCAAACACTAATTTTGTTGATAATAATCATTGTACCATTTTTTTTTTAAATATATCTACTAATAGGTAACGGCTGTTTTATTTATTTTTAAATTTTTAGAGAATTTTTTCCCTTAAAATAGATATTAAATATTAAGTAAAAGCATAAAACGATGTAATAAAATTATAGATAAACTTATAAATAACATACGTCTTGTGAAAAAGACGAATGCTGATAACAAAACTAAAATTTTTGAAAAGTTTCCAGAATTTTGGCCACTAGTGTATATGTTGGAAATTCCCTGTCATTTTATCAAGATATGTACTTACATTATTCATTTTTAACGTTGGTAATTTGTGGTATTTTGTCAAAGTCAAAATCGATTGCATTTGGTACTCACCACTACTTGCTTTTAAAACCTCGATGACGTAATTCCAGAAAGTCCTCAGAAAATTTTTAAATGTAAAAAGTATGCGATCAAACATTAGACCATATTGATTTTAGTTCACCTCTATACAATTTCTTATTTTGCCATTTCTAGATAAATTGTCAATTTTTTGTAGTACAATGTTACTATCAGAACAAAATTTATATCCTATTCTTGTCGAAGTTCCTTTTCCTCTCGAAGGTTGGCTATCACCAGAGTTATCCGTACTTTATTGGCGGCTGCTCTGAAAAGATCTATTGAGCTGCAACTATACCATTCTCTTAAGTTTCTCAGCCAGGAAATTCTTTTTCTACCTATAGATCTTTTACCCTTAATGTTACCTTGCATTAAGCCTAATATCTTATATTTCGCACCTTCGTGAATGTGACCTTAATATTCCAGCTTTCTTGTGTTGATGTTCTTTATCACGTTGCAATCCTTTTATAACATTGTAACCTTAACACTTTTGTATTTGTAACTCGTTAGATCCAGGAATTTTTAAAATCCCTCTATAGCACCACATCTCAAATGCTTCCAAATTCTTTATATTGTCTACTTTTAGTGTCTAGCTTTCCATTCTATGTAACAAAGTCGAGAACACGTAGCATTTTTTAAGGCGCTTATCCTCAGCTCTAGAGGAAGATCTCGATTTTGTTCTGAAACTATTTTCTTGTGGCATTATTGCAATTAACTGGTTTTGATGGGAAATTAGCCACAATTTTACCAAAAAAATTATTTTATTAACGTTTTGATGCCTAAATCGGGTGTCGCTGTCAAAATACAAAAATTATTAATGAACGAACTTTGTAGAGACAAATGAACTTTTGACTTATTTTGCAACTTTATAAGCAACAAATAAGGACAGGAACGTTTAGAAACCACCATTTTCAAGGTTTTTATATGACTTATAATTTCTTCTCTTCTCAAATTGGTTTCAAACGCTTTACTTTTTGCTGATAGACAAACGAAGCGAAAATAGACCTTTTTTGACCTTAATTTGTTAATAATTAAGTCCAAAAAATCGACTGCGGGAAACAGATAGGTTCTTTTTATAGAGCTCTATAGTACTTAAAACAACTGTCGGTTGTCTGGTTGAAAAAAAGCTTATTTCCCTGGGATGATAGGACAATTTGTCCTATTTGTTTCATAATATATTATTTTATGTTCAAAAAGTAATTATTTTAAAACTAAATTTCACTATAACTTACCGGAAAGCCGTTACTACCAGACTCAACGTTTGAAATGTTACCCAAGACGACCCTTACATCATTGTTGTAGCTAGTAACATTTGTAAGATCCTCTATATCATCCGTTACTGTGAAGGTAACATAATAATTTAAGCCTAAGAAGTCAGCTGTCCCTAGAATATAGCTGATTTCAGATAAAGTTAATTCGGGCAATCTGCTTTTGGAATAATTTTCTCTCATGCTTCTTTCATATACACGAATCTTTACATCCTCGGGCCAATCTCCTACAAAGATTGGGTGGGCATAGATTCCGCACTAAACAATAAACAAATTAACACTTTGATACCTAATTTAAAATAAAAATTTAATATTTTGCTTTTTTTTATTGTGAAATATTTATTGATTATAATTATTTATAGAGATTTATAGAAGGTAGAGAAAGAAGAACAAGAATGAATGACTGGTTTGATGAAGAATGTCGGATTATAACAGACAGAAAAAACAAAGCATATTTACTTATGCAACAGGGGCACAGAACCCGACAAGCAGAGGAAGAATATAAACAACTACACAAAGAAGAAAAGAAAACTCACCGAAAAAAAAGAGAGAATATATAAACAAAGAACTTCAAGAACTACAAGAACTAAGTAAATCAACAGAGACAAGAAAATTGTATCAGAAACTAAACAAAAGCAGAAAAGACTTCAAACCGAGAACAACGATGTGTAGAGATAAGGAAGGTAATATATTGATAGATCAGCAAGAGATACTAAGTAGATGGACAGAACATTTTACGGAAAAGCTTGAAGGAGATTGGAGAGAGACGACTTATGACATACTATTAGACCAAGCAGATAACAGAGAAAAGACTCTATCAACAATAGCCGAGATTAAAGCAGCACTAGACAAATTAAAGAACAATAAAGCACCGGGATTGGATCAAATAGCATCGGAGTTACTGAAGGAAGGAGGAGATACTCTACAAAAAACAATCCATGAAATAACAAAGATATGGTCGAATAAATAGCTACCAGTGGAGTGGAATAGCGGTATTAATGTACCATTACATTAAAAAGGAAATCAGTTAGAATGTGAAAACTACCGTGGAATCACGCTGCTGAATGCAGCATACAAAATAATGTCCAACGTTATTTATGAAAGACTTAGACCACACGCTGAAAAAATAGTTGGCAAATACCAAAGTGGCTTCAGTAGACAGAAGTTAACAATAGACCAGATATTTGTTCTGCGACAGATCCTCGTAAAAACAAGTGAATATAACATCGACATATATCATCTCTTTATAGACTTTGAAAGCGTATATGACAATATAAACCGAGAATTCCTAATAAAAGCAATGAAAGAATTTAATATACCAACACAAATAATAGAACTGATAAAAGAATCTCTAAAGTAGAAAGTAGAATCCGGATACAAAATGAATTAACGGAAACAATAGATGTAAAAAAGGGACTACGCCAGGGAGACGATCTATCATGCATATTGTTCAACATCGTACTCGAGCAAATACTGAGGGACACAACAGTCAATACTCGAGGAACAATCATTAATAAAAGCGTGCAAGTACTAGCATTTGCAGATGATGTTGACATAATCGCAAGATCAAGAAGAGAAATGATAGAGGCATACTACCAAATGGAACGAGCTACACAAAATTGTGGTCTTAAAATCAATCAGACGAAAATAAAATATATCCATGTAAGTAAAAACGCAGAAATAAGGCAGCCACAAAATATAACAATAGGAGAATGCAACATTGAGGGGATAAAATCTTTAAATACTTAGGATCCCTAGTCACGTCTGATAATAACGTTGCGGAGGAAGTGAAGAGGCGAATATTTATTGCCAATAAGTGTTACCATGGCTTAACTAGGCAACTTAAATCAGGTAACGTCGCAAGAAAAACAAAATGCCAACTATATAAAACCTTAATAAGACTGGTACTCACATACGGCTCAGAAACCTGGACACTCACTAAAAGAGAGGAAACGCTGTTAGCCACCTTCGAAAGAAAAATCTTGCGACACATTTCTTATCGTACATCAAAAATATTAAAAATAGAATTGGTAAACACTTAGTAAACCATAACGTTAAGACTACCTTCAAACTTATCAAGACAATAGAAGAAAGCGAGAAAAAAGTTGTTGACGTTAAAAGAATGAAACTATTGAAAATTATTTATTTTAATGAGGTATAATTTATACCAAGACATAACATTTATAGGAAATAACACGCCGCAAGTTGTTATAATTAATTTAGTAAGATTTAATGGCGTGGAAATTAATTCAAAATCTGGACAACAGTTTTAGACCTGTCTCTCTTTAGTGTCACCTTTTCAAGGCGTTCGAAAGAATGATACTAAACCGAATCGCTAAATCTGTGAACACTAAAATTATTCCTGAACAAGCAGGGTTTAGATCCGAAAAATGCTGCTGCAGTCAAACTCTTAATCTCACTCCACATATTGAAGATGGATTTGAACGGAAAGAAATAACAGAAGTAAAGTTCATAGACCTGACTGCCGTCTATGACACAGTTAACCATCAACGACTGCTGGTAAAATTCTACAAAATTACAAAGAATTTTTGACAAACAAGGTTAATGAAATGTCTTCTCCAGAATAGACGCTTCTACGTAATGGTCCAGTCCAAGAACAATTGGTGAAGGGATAAAAAAAATGAAATCTTACAGGGAAGTGTCCTCGTGCCATTGCTATACGACATTTACACCAACGACCAACCCAAAAACCAACAAACAAGACAGTTTACTTACGCGTATGATACAGCTGTGGCAGCTCAGTGAAATACCTTCAATAAAGTCGAAGTAAAACTGACAGATGCCCTAGAAGACTTAGTACTATACTATGACGAAAACCATCTGAAAGCCAATCCTACAAAAACTCAGATGTGTGCTTTTCACCTAAGAAACAAGCATGTCCGAAAGACAGTGGAGGTAAAATGGCGTGGTCAGATGCTGGAACATAATGAGAGGCCAAAATACCTCGGCGTACGTTTGGATAGAACTTTGCCTTATTGATATCACTGTCAAGATATCAAGAAAAAAGTAAGCGCCAGAAATAATATTCTCCGCCAACTAAAAAACACAAAATGTGGAGCACAACCACACACTCTCCGTACTTCTGCCTTAGCATTATGTTTTTCTGCCGCCGAGTTTGGAGCACCAGTGTGGGAAAACTCTATTCACGCTAAAAACGTCGACGTTGCGTTAAATGAAAGGGTTCATATAATATATGGATGCCTGAAACCGACACTGATTAGTTTACGGATTTTAATATAATATCTGATAATAAAATCCGTAAACTAATTTTCGAAACCAAATTCAAATTTTTGCTTTAATCTGTGCCTTCTAAGAATTGCAAGGCAAAACAGACGTTGATAAAGATGTTATTATCAGATGTCGCTATTTGAGTCCATTCGAAGCCATGTTAGAGTTGCTTTCTAAGACAGAAGAGTTTTATTTTCACGTTCAGAGCGACAATGAATTGCCGTTCTGACGAGGCCTAGTAGGCCGAAATACGTATAAGCGGCTACATTGACTCACTATACGTGAAATTAAATCTTAACTGTCTTTACTTTTTTATTCTGATTACTCTGAACGAGTACAAGAAACCAATTTGCTAAGGATTTTTGCTTAGTTGAGAAGATATGACGTGAAATGCAAATTTTAGATTTCCCATGTCTCTAATAACATCTTTATCAACGTCTGTTTTGATTTATATATATTATACATATTGATATTTTAAATACCTCAAAGTCTACGTTGCGTTTGGCTGCTTCTTTATCTGCGGCAGAATCACTCTTGGGTTCGTACCACTCGCAGTCTATAGTAATGCCCATAGGAGCTGAAAATAAAAAAAACATCAACTATTTGGTTTAAGAATATGTTTTATTATATAGGTAATCGGGTAGTTCAATCTTTTGATTAGAAATTAAATTTTTATTATTGTAAATAGATAAATACATGCACAACAAAAAGTTAAAATAACATGTGTAAGAAACACATCGAATTAGACCACAACACAAAGATGTTAAGGATATTCGCCCAACCATCATTATCATTATTATATATTTATTTCTATGTGGGGGTGGCGTGCTTAATTACATTTTTTCATAAGTTTCTATCTTGGGTCATACCAATATTACATCCCTTTACCGAGATATCCTACTAAGCGTCTTTCCCTAGGTCTTTTTGGTTCTTTCCCTTTTACTCCTCTCAGAAACCAACAAATGAGTGATTCTTGGTTTTGGGTCATTAACATATTGACGAAAAACATGACTAAAGCATTAAATATGTAGCATTTCCAAAATATTTGGTATATATTGACATCCCCTCATATATGTATTAAAATATCAAAGAATATTTTTCATTTATCTCTGTTCCTATCGTACAAGTTAAAATACCCAAAATTGTTTTTAATCCTTTTATTTGCGTCGCCGAGGTCGATTATAACCATTTTACAGTTTGTTTATATTTCACAAACGCGTATTTCTTTAGTATTTTCTTTTGATCGAAGCCGCCTAATATTCTACGTTTCAAATAAATATTTCCGTTATATGTTTTGTTTATACCAAGTTTACAATGATTTTTAAAAATTACAGGACTCTTGCTTAGGTCGCTGTTAGAGGCAGTTACTTACAGTGTGAGTCCAAATTGTTCATCAAATTTAATTTTTTTTTCGTCTCTTTTTATGAAAAATAAGTAGTTTTGTAGCAGTTAATAGTTACAGTTTTAAGTGAGGTTTTGAAAGATAACCACATTTTGCCATTGTGTTCAGTTCTACCTGTTCAAGTTTTTTAAGCTAAAGAGTTTCCAAAGTTTTTGTTCCAGTGTCCCAATTTTAACCTCGATGCCCTAAGCAGCCGTTTCAGGATACTTTTTCATAGTATGGAGATGGATTCAGAGTTTGAGTTCCAGTTCCTACTCCCAGAAATTTAAAGTAAAGTGTAACTTAGTGAAATCAAGGTAACTTTTTTGTTTAAACTTTTAAAGGAAGAATAAATATTTTAAATAATAATTTGCGGTAAAGGTAATTTTTTTGTTTTAAACTTTTAAAGGAAGAATATACATTTTAAATAAAAATTTGCGTTCATAATTTAAAAAGAAGAAATTATAATAATTTAACTTATATGTCGTAGGGTGTGGCCATTACTGTTATTTAATTTGTTCTCAGTTGTAAAATTTTATGTTGACATATGGCATCTAGCATTATTATTTTGTCATTGGTTTGTTGTTTTTTTTAAGAAGGTTAACGTTTTAAAAATTTATTTAAAAAGATAATTTTTATTTGTAATAATTTATTTTTGCCACAGTTTATAGCCAAGCAACAAAGTTTTGTAGCATCTTCCACTTACAGAGTTTGTAAACGGAAAGAACATGTAAATTTTTCTTTGTTATTTGTATTTTTACTTTTGTGGCTATAAATATAGTATTTATGTATATGCTAATTTTGTAACTGTTTGTATTGAGACAACAATAAATGTTTAATTTTTTTCCTAAAGCATTTTGTTTATTTCTCCTAACTAACTCTTTAACCCCTTTTTTAGTTTCATTTAAAAATATATATTTTTTATTTGTAGTTGTTGTAATCGGTATAATTTGGCACCTCGAAGCGGCGTCCATTTTAAATTGCTAGAAGTCTTTCTTGTGTTTTGTTTTGTCCATTTGTCCAGGAGACTCATAAGTACCCTTGTGTTTCGTTTTTTAGTTGCCCCAATCCAACCCCTAAATTTTGAGTGCCGTTCGCATTAGTTTCGATTTATTTTGCTTGCCCTATCTCTAGGGCAATCTATCTTGATTATTTTTTGCCACTCCACACATCCATCTAAGCATTATCATTTCTGCCACATGCATTTACTGTTCCTTGTACTGTTTAATTGCTCAATATTATGCATATCATAGCTGGTTCTACAGAACTTTTATAAAATTATCCCTTGAGCTTCATTGGAATTTTTTTCTTCTGGATAACCACTCGTATCGTTCTACTTCATTCATTCCACCCTAATGCCACTGTGTATCTCTCCATTGTCTCTCTAATAGCAATCTTATATATGTAAAACAACTATTACTTTTCACAAAGTTTAAAACCTTTTTTCTCAATACCCTGTCTCCACTGCTCCAGTTTTTGTTGAGAGACACCAACGAGAATAAACAAAGACTAAGTACCGAGCCTTGCTGCAATCATACTTTTATATGAAATTTATTAGTCTCTCACACACCGGTCCAAAGACTCATAAGAGTTGTTACTCCCTCATACATGTCTCTCACAATCTTGACATATTCACTGGGAACTCCTTTCCTATTGAGCGCCCACTATAGAATCTCTAATCTAATCCAGGAACTTTATCATTTCTTCATTTTTCCTTTAAATACCATTTTGTTTTGTGGCCGGAGCCTTTTTTTATTTTTTTGCGATTTTTTTTAAACTAGTTTTGAAACATAAGAACATCATTAGTTAATTGCCAATACCAAAATGCTGTGTTATCTTCTGTTCATAAAGCTACAATTTTCTAGACGATTTTTGCCAGTATTTGCTGTTTTGCTCTTCTGTGCTTCCATTGTTGGTACAAATTATATATCATTTGCAGTATCGGGCTTTGGTTATCTTATAGCTCCGCAAATTTTATTCTGGCTTTTTCTTCCATCGTGTCTGTTACCCTAAGTTAATCACCCTGTACTTTTGCGAAAACTCATTATGTTTTTCTGGTTTCAGGATCATAATAACAAAGGCTTCTTCCATAGGTTGGTAAGGTTACTTATTTCCTTCGGGGATTTTGCTTTCTTCTTCTGGCGTTTCTTGTTTTTTTTTTACTTCTTCATTGGTCTATGTTGGTGATAGTTAAGTGTACACTCTCCTTCAAGAGTTTTTCTCATCACTTTGACTTTTTTTATTAGAGTAGACAATTTCATTTTCTCCGTGAAGTGGGGGAATGGGTTTTCTATCGTTTCTTAATGTTCTTTAGAGTATTTAAATATTTTGCATACTCTATTTCTTGTAGATGGTTGTTCTACTTTTGACTTTTGTGTTCTGTTAGTACCAATTTATAAACTCTAGTGGTTTTCATCTGTTCTTCTCATTCTGGTTTCTGGTTTTTCTGGCTTTATTTTTGGCACTATTCTTTTCCCTTATCATTTCTCATCTTTTATTTCCTGGACAATGTCTTTGAATCTTCCCATTCAGATTTGTAGCTCTTTTGACTTTTTCTTCTGTCTTGTAGATTTTTGATCGTTAAGATGTTGTTGGTTTCAATGCTCACAAGTATTTTTTAGTTTAACTTTATTTTTTCCTTGTTCTTGTTGCTGTAGTGTTTTCTTTCCATGTACCTATTTCTAGTAGTAAGAAGTTTTGGTCTCCTCATCTTCTGATTAGTTTAGGGATCTTTTAATAGTCTTAGGTTTTTAGCCACTACTATATCCAGATGGGTAGGTAAAGCATTCTCTGGGGAATATGTGGGCTCGATGGGCCCTATTGCTATGGTGTCTTTGTTGTCATCTAGATAATTGTTTAGTAGTCTTCAGTTTCTGTTCGTAGCTCTATCGTTCCAGTTTGGGGATCTTGTATTTAGCGACACATATTCCAAAACAAATAATTGTCTATATAAAGAGGCATATTCGCTACCAGCCACTTGTCTTAACTATTGACATTTTACTATTAAAATGTTGCAAAATTGAGAAAAAATTGAGAAAAGTGGAGGAACATTGGCAAGACCAACTTATGATAACTCATGGTAACACAATACCTGTATCGGCTTAGTGAATAAGAAGAAATAGAAGAAAATTAATTCTACAAAAAAATTTGTTAAAAATTTACTTTTTTCATTTTTAAGGACATAACTATAATTCTTTTTTATAATTTATTTTTTATTGCAAATTAACTCATTCATCGCGTCCTGAAACAGACTCTAATGCTAGTACTTATTTAAAGGTTATTATATTTGTTATATATACCTGAACGGTTTAGAGCCTTGTACATATAATATGTCTCGGCATGGGCCTTCAGGACAGTATATACACATTCATATTCTCCTACTCCTGAACTGTGTATGCCCGGTGCGAACATGCCAGTTCCGTATCCAAAATGACAAATTTGTTTAGGTTCGTTGAAAGTAATCCATACTCCTACATCCGGAAGTTCCTCGATGACTATTTTAGCGTACTCTACAAAAAGTTCTGCTAGGTTAGAATTTGGCCAACCTAAACCAGCAAGGGGTTGGGGCAGATCCCAGTGGAAGATTGTTGCAACCGGGGTAATGTTGCGATTCACCAACTCTTTCGTAAGATCCTTATAATATTGAAGTCCTTTCTGATTCACCTTGTTGGAATAACCGGTTGGAAGTATTCTAAAACGTAAAAACAATATTAAATGAACGCAAAATATACTATCAAAATACGTAAATTAATTAAGTCAAGATGGGAATAAATTAATTATTTATTAATAATATATGTTACGAGTAATGTCCGAAATTGGACAATCCTATCATTGTACAGAAAATCGCCGAACTGTATAAAATAATTGTTGTATAATCATCGCCAGCTAACTTGGCGAGGAGAGTACGCAGAACGTCACAGAGAAATAAATTATGTTTACGCCCTATGATTCATCCTATTGGTTTACTATTTCTGATAAGTATATTCAGTAGCGTAGCGGTATAGGTCAAATAATTATTACACCATTTTATTAAAAAAGTAATATTTTTCGCAAGCTTTAATATATTATTAGAAAGATGAAATTGTAATTTTGGTTTATTTAATTTAAATAGTAAGCCATTGGTTTATAATATTTATTTAAATTAGTAAACAAATTGTACAATAATGACTGAATTTAATTCACAAATCTCCGTTGATATTGTGTTTCAAATTAAATGGAGGATATTGTATAAATAAATGCAACACAGTAATTATTTAATTTTAATATTTTGGTTTTATTATAATACTAAAACAAGTACCCGTGTTGAAAAGTGGTATCTATTTGAAAATAAATGGATTGTTAATAATTTTCTTCATTTTCATCTTCGGAAGAAGAAAACTCTGTACTGGAAGAGTCACTGTCAAGATTTATAATAATTGGAGCTATTTGCGTGGCGTTATCAGCAACTATCTCGCTGTCCATATACTCATCTTCCTTCTTAATGACATGGTAACATCGTTTTCTCTACTCATTTGCATCAATATTAGTGAATTCTTCCTCGGCGAGTTTTTGTACGTCAGCTAGCTTAAATGTAACGTTTTTCTGCCTCATATTATTTTTGACTGTAGCCCATATTAGTTCAATAGGGTTTAGGTCAGGATGGTAAGGAGGTAAACGTAAAGGAATATGGCTATGCGCACGTAGAATTTCGTCGAATTTGTATTTTACATCATGAGGTTTATGATATTTAATTGTTTCATACAGTTCAGGTTTTAAAGCGCTAGGTGTAAATGAAATATTTTTCTGCATTAACCATTCTATCATTTGATTTTTGTTTGAGTTTGATGTAGGCGCCCGCTCCAATTGAATGCTGTGATAAGGTGCATTATCAAAAACTAATACCGATAATAGCAGGTAAATTAGGTAATAAATGTTCTTGTAACCACTTTCCATATTTGTCTGAATTCATTTCAGAGTGGTAATCCCCTGATTTTGAACCTGATTTAAAGATTAATAAGCCATGTTTTATGAATCCCGTATCCCCACCGGCATGCACTATTATTAGTCGTTGACTTTTGGAAATATTTTAAAATAAGCCCTTGGTTGATTCGTCAGTCTAGTTCTTTGAAGAAGTATGACCGCTGTGTAAGTAGGTCTCGTCAACATACACGATTGGCCTATTTTGACTCCGAAAATATTTGATTTGCCTGAGATATTTTATTATCAAAGCTCTTATTGCACTTTTTTCTACAAGCACTTTTTAGTTGTTTTCGGTTTTCCTCCAACGAAATTGCATTTTGCGTAGAAGTCGCCTTAAAGATGTTAGTGAAATTGTGATATCCAAATCGTTGTGAATTTTTTGTTTTAATTTTTTTACCGCAACCCGACATTTTTCTGTTTTATAAAAATCGTAAATTATTCTGCGAATGTCGCTTTTGAAATAATTAAACACATTAAATATAATCTCCCGAGATTCTCTACTAATAACAGAATTATTTTTTCTACTATTTTTCAACGCCATCGTTAAAAATTGTCACAAATACACTTAACTATCCGAAATAATAAGAAGTCTGAAAAATAATAGCCGCAAATCACTTAAGTGTTACGCACCTGATAACTGATAAACACATTAAATATAATCTCCCGAGATTCTCCACTAATAACAGAATTATTTTTTCTACTATTTTTCAATGCCATCGTTAGAAATTGTCACAAGTACACTTAACTATCCGAAATAATAAGAAGTCTGAAAAATAATAGCCGCAAATCACTTAAGTGTTACGCACCTGATAACTGGGAGGAGACTAAAGACCACCACCTAGCTACTAAGCAATTTTGGGTTTGTGCGCACCGCCAAGTTAGCTGGCGATGACAGCACAGTAGTACAATGTTCGAATTTCAATAAGTAGCCATTCGTCAAAGTTTGAGAGAATATGAGAGATATCGATTCATATCGATTTTTACGATTATTCCGTATTTGTTATTAAAGACAAACAAACATTAATAAGGGTATAAATCCATAACTAATTAGGGCTTCTGACTTCTGGATTGAAGAATTAAATTATTTTAAATTATCATACACATCTCTTGAACATTTGAAATGTTTCACAAACATCTTCCCTGTATTATAGTGATCTATCTATCTCTTGAAGCGTTGAAATGTTTAACTAACGTTATCACTCTATTGTAGAACAATTTCTTCTTATTATTTATATTTTAATTTGACACAGCATTTTATCACATTGTCGATTCAAAAAAGAATAACTTTATATATAAAGAGAAAATATAAAATTATCAAAGAAATGTTCGATTTTTGATTTGGTGTGTCACTTGTCAATAATTATTGATTCAAATCGATGATCGTTTCGATAATTATTTTTAATTTGTATCAGTTTAGGACATTATACAGTTTGGGCGCAGAATGCCCACTCTGCTTGTTAAGATAAGTACGCGCATCTCCTTCACTACTATTCAGTGATTTTTATCTAGTGAGCATAGAAAAATTAACACGGTTTAATTTATTTACGGCAACCAAGGGCATAATATGCAATACTTTATGTCGTACTTTTACTATTATTAATTTCTAAAAATTTAATCTTCTAAAGCTCTGGAGGGATTAGGACAGTTCTTAATCCCAATGAAAGAAAAATCCAAATCTGCAACCTTCACGTGGTAGAAGATGGGCAGCATCTATCTATAGATGGCCAATCCAGAAAGGGATCGAGTGATTGCTAATATTTAGGGAATAACACCACACCAGTATAAACAATCTCCCATTTACTTTTCAATCGGTCTCAAAGGCGGAGGAACCAAGAAATGTTAAGCAATATTCAGTTGGAAATGGCCAGACTAGACATTCCTATTCTAGGTATCTGTGAGACGAAATGTCTAAGGTCAAGCATATTCGAGAGCAATCAATACATTGTCTACCACTCGGGAAAGGCAGAAGGACCCAGACGTAACGGAGTCGCAATTATTGTCAAAGAAGAAATTCGTAACTGTATTAGAAATTTCTTAGAGCTGCAAAATAAATTAAGAAATATTAATATAACACAAGTCTATGCACCAGCAGCTGACAAACCAGATAAAGAAATTGAACAATTCTACAAAAAAATTAAACAAATTCTACGGAGCACAAAAAACATGAAGCTACGATTATTATAGGAGACTTCAATGCAAAAGTTGGTGTCGAAATAACACAAGATATAAACAAAAAGTATGGAAAAAAACGAAAGAGAGCAGAGACTAATACAGTTCTGCCAAGAAGAGAATTGTTATAGCAAATACTTTGTTTCAACAACCTAAAAGACGACTATATACCTAGAAATCTCCAGCTGATCAAGAAGGAAAGGTAGTCAGAAATCAAATCGACTACATTATCATTAAAAGAAGGTTTAGAAACAGTATTACATATACATTCAAACTAAAATTAAAAATTATAAAAACCCTGACACCGCAGAAAAAATATAATAATCGATTCTTAAGAAATGCTGTAATAGCAGATGAGTTCGGAAATACGATAAATCATGTAATTACAAAAGAGCTAGAAATATCTGAATAAGAAAATATCGCACAAAATATAGATATAATAAATTCCACCATAGTTACCATAGCAGACGAAGTTTTAAAATTAAAAAAAGAGCCAGTAAAGAAAAAGGATTGGACGGAAGGAAAAAGGTTAAGCGAGCAAAAGAGGACTGGATGGAACAGAGATGTCGTGAGATGGAATAACTACAAAGAAAACATGACGAGTTTAATATACACAAAAAAAACTTTAAGAAACTACCTACACTTAAAGAAAAAGAACTCCTTACTTTATGAAAAACTTCAAAGGTAAAGTTATTCTCGACTTAAACGAAAATAAAAGCAAGAATGGACCAACTACATATAAGAGCTCTTCCTAGATACGAGGCCACCACTTAACGCCACAAAATATACGAATACTGGTCCTAGTATTTTAAAAGCAGATGTAGAGAAAGCCATTAAAAATAGCAAAAGTGGAAAATCTCCAGGCCCTGACCAATAACCATCAGACTGGCTTAAACTTCTAGGCGACGACAATGTCTCAAAACTAACAAACATTTATAACCACATTTGTAAAAATTGACAGAGACTATCAATGTATTTGTAATTTTGCAAAGTGATGTGGTCTTCTAATGTTTCCTCAAACTGTCTGGCAATTAATTCTACCAATTGTTCCGATGAATAATTGTACTCTAAATGTTTGGCGTTGTTGTAGATCTGTAAAGCATAGGCTTTTTCTGATACTTCCAACTTTTCATTATATTTTTCGTTCTGCAGTTCTTTGTTGATCTCCAATTGCTGTATTTTGCCCCAGAAATAGTTCAAAATATTTTCTCAAAATTTTCCCAATTTGTAAATTCCTCTTCTTTACTGTCAAACCATAAACTCGATTCATCTTTAAGATGGTTCCTTATCGTTTCTTTAGCTGTTTCGAAGTTACCGATGTACCTCACTTTATTTTTTAAATTATTTATGAAAATTACTGGGTGTAATTTTTTTACGACCCCGCCAAACCCTTTTTTCACATCATCTGTACTAAACATAAGCATTTCCCTTCTTTCTCCAAAATTTTGTTGCGTCTTGATTTTCGCAATTTGTCTTTCGTTCTGCTTAACTTTTTCTTCTATTTCTCGCTTGTCTTTTTGTAACGCATTTTCCAATTTGATTTTCAATTTCTCTAGCTCCTTC